GACAAAAATTGTATGTACAGTTGTGGTATTTGGCATGCAATATTTATCTCATTCTCAATGTTATTCAGTAATTTCGACCAAACAGCAATTGTAGACAAATAGATTCAAAATGTTTACGTTAAGCAGTCAAGTTTAACAGGAATCTAGTTTCAAATAATTCAGGTTTGGTTTTTACACTAACTGAACACAGAGGAAAAAATATTATTAATAATAATAATTCAAATAAATATACACCAATACAACAACATGCATCAATGTTTACTTACATATATTTTACGAAAATATTTTAATATATAATTGGTTAGCATCACACTGGAGGTTAGGAATATCAGTGAATAACCTAAATATAACTAGAAGACAATGAGGGATAGTTCACCCAAAAATGAAAATTCTGTCATTAATTACTCACTCTCGTGTTGTTCCAAACCCGTAACACAATCTTCGGAACACAATTTAAGATGTTTTTGATCAAATCTGAGGGCTCTCTGACCCTCCCATAGACAGCAAGGTAACTACCACGTTCAAGGTCCAGAAAAGTACCAAGATGATCGACAAAGTAGTCCGTGTGACATCAGTGGTTCAACTGTAAAGTTACAAAGCTACGAGAATACTTTTATTGCGCAAAGAAAACAAAAATAACGACTTTATTCCACATTTTCGTCTCTACGAGCGTTGTGCCGCCACATGCTCGCGTCATGATACTGTCGTGAACGCGCGTCCACAAGTAGAGACGAAAATGTGGAATAAAGTCGTTATTTTTGTTTTCTATGCGCAAAAAAATATTCTCGTAGCTTCGTAACTACGAGAATAGTAGTTACTAATATTTTAATAGTTTAAAATATTCAGGTTTGGTTTTTACACTAACTGAAGAAAAAAGGAAAGAAAAACAATAACAAGTTATATAATAATAATTTTTATTATTTACCAGGATTACAACAAACAGCAATGTTTACTTATATGTAAGTATGTTAAAATGTCACACACCTGTAAATAATTTTAGGTGATTATGCAAATAAATCGTTTTTTTGCTACTGTTTTTGCACCATTTTACCATTTTGAGTTTTAAAAAGGATGCTTATGAAACATTTGTCTTAATGCTCAGTTACTCTGTCACAGTCACAGACACTGGTAAAGGAAGGAAGGATTGTGAAATTAGAGAATTATTATGATATTATTATAATGCATTATATCATTATGTTTCTTATACTTTTATGGTTTTGTTGTGGTCTCATGTCACATAAAACCATTCAAGATCATAGAGACGAGTGATATAGCTTAATTTACAGCATTTAAGCAGCTCAATATGGTCTCTTTTCTATATTACTCATCATTACGCTCCGTTGTCCCCTGCGCCCACTGGCTGGATGGATGCCTGTCTCTTATTTAAACGATGGAGAACAAGCCAAGCCCTCAGCAGCAGTAACATTACCCTTAACCAGAGCTCTGCTAGTTGACATCTTCACAATTTCAATGGGTTTCTATGGTTACTTATTGTATTCCAAGTGTATATTTGCTTAGTGTGTAAGCAGGTTTGTGTTTAATTGAGTGTGTGTGACGGTGGCAGCGAGGCTGAAAGATGACTTCAGGGAGATGCTGATTTGATTTCCTGTTCTTTTTTGTCAGTGCCACCGTCATACGTGAGACCTTTCCGTGTGTTGTTCCTGTGCATTTGAAAGCAGCTGTTTGTTTAGGACGAGCCTGATGACAGTTCTCTCGTAACAGCTGCTGCCCTCAGGTTAAATTCAACAAAGACTGATGCTCAGATCAGCTGCAGCATTTACACAACATTGCATGCATATATAGTGTGCTCGGTTTCTGAAAAGCCTGCTGGTTAGTCACCAAGCAGAACAGTGAAAAGACAAGAATCTGTTTAAATATTAACAAAAGTCTTTCCTAGTTCTGGGAACCATGAAACAACATCAGAAAAACTAGTTAAATCACCTTTATGAGGGATACTATCAGTTTGTCAGTAGTGTTTGCATAACTATTGTTACTATTGCTCATGATCATTTTTAACACACCCTTAACCTTTAGTTAAACTTTAGCACATTATTTGTCCAGAATGTTTTTTTTTTGCCACAGCAATGAATGTTACCTCAAATAATGCAGATTTCTATGTGATATGATAACTGGGATAATTATGTAGCATAGATTTCTATCAAATTTTGCCATCCAAATTAGAATGAAATAAGGAAAAATGTAAGTGTTTAAGTCATAATCTGGCAGGGAGTAAATAATAAAGAAAAACGAATGTTGTAAAGTACATAAAGATAGTCAAAGGTCTCACTTCATACGAAATGGAGGCTTGTGGGTTTAATCAGTGCATTATATATTATATTATGTTATATTATATTGATATATTATAAATATAATAAATATATAATATATATTTTATAATATTTAATTAAATAATTATATAAACATGATCAATTTCTACACATTTAAATAAATTATATGGGACTATTTTAATTTCTATTTACATATTTTATACAATTAAAAAAACATGAACAGAACAGAAATAAATCATTAAGTCACAATTATTTGTGACAATTAATTAAAACTGATTGTGACAGGCCTATAGCGACCAGAATATCATAGAGACTGTTTTGAGATCTATAACACCTTTGCAACACCCTGACAACCACCCACAACACCCTGCCAGCATGATGAGGAGTTTTGCATGGGCAAACACTGCTCAGTTTTTCAGAAAATGAAAAAAAATTAGTTGGGATACACCTGTCGCTGAAGTAATCGGTGTTGGGGAAAGTTTCTTTTAAAAGTAATGCATTACAATATTGCGTTACTCCCTAAAAAAGTAACTAATTATGTTACTTAGTTACTTTTATGGAAAGTAATGGGTTACGTTACTTTTGAGTTACTTTTTACATCTGGGCAGGGCTTGCTTGTTTGTTTTTAATATAAAAAAGTTCTTCTTTTACAAATGTAAAAGCCCTTTTCACAACAGAAGTGAAATGAATACGCCTCAGGCTGAAGGAAATGCAAATTCACGTCTGTACAGTAGAGGGCGCAGCTCAAACAAATTGCATGAAGAATATGACACAGAAGAAGAAAGTTTAACACTATTCAGCAATAACAAAAATGAAACAAATGTGTCATTTTTGTTGATTAGTATGGTTGAATTAGATCATCGAAGGTCAGTAGCAAAGACGAGTGACGAGTGAAAAACGACGAGTGTGTTTTTATTCATTTTGAGGAATACTGAATCTGTTTTTGTGCAGTGAGAAGAGTAAATAATGTTCTTATTTAGTCTCGAACTACAGTAACATCACAGCGCACACAACGCCTCTGCACTTACTCCCCATTTTTCTCAACATGGCAACACGAGAGCTGTCAGTCAAGACAGGGGAAACAAAGTAACTAGTGTTACTTGTTTGAAAAATAATATTTTATATAGATAATAGAAAATAGATATTTAGTTCTAAATTAAAAAGTAATGCGTTACTTTACTAGTTACTTGAAAAAAGTAATCTGAATACGTAACTTGCGTTACTTGTAATGCCTTACCCCCAACACTGATCACAGACATAAAAACAGCCTGAAAATCGATTGCTTTCTGCCTTCACACAGTGACTACACAAAAGTGGCAACAACACATATGAGAGTCACATCTCAACAAGCCCCTGAAGCCCCGCCAGCAGTTTGCCATGTTTCCACGGAAACCTACCCCAAGATAGGCGGCCAGGAAATTAAAAAGCCCCACAAGAAAAGACAGTGCATTTCCACTAGATAAAACAGGATATGTTTGAACAATGATTTGAGCTAAGATAAATGACACAGGGCCACAACAGGAAGAGTGTACGGGTTGAAATATAATGATTTCATGATGTCATCAGGTGTCATATCACTCACCTGACGGTGACCAGTCTGATCTTATTGATTTTGTTGTTGTGCCTCCTTGCAGATGTCCTGAATGACGCAATCTTTGATGAGGACCATGACGAGATGGTGATAGTGAAGGATATTGACATGTTTTCCATGTGTGAACACCATTTAGTTCCCATTTTTGGCCGGGTAAGACTAATCCTTTTACCCTCATTAACAGCAACATTCATGTCACCTTTGCAGTGCAGATTTTATGACCATATTTAAGAGACAAAACCTCTGTGGTGGATACTTAGTTTTAAAAAGTAATTTGTCACAGCACTACCCTATTGTATAAGGGTTTAACAAAGTCTGTATTTATTTTTATTCTTAAGTAAAGTTTATTCATTTTTCTTCAAGTTTAAAATTTTAGTTTATTATTAATTAAAATAAAATATTTAATTTTTAAAATCATTTTAAATTAATAATTTTAATTATTTATTATTACTTTTTATTTTTATTTTTAATTTATTTCCAAAAAGAACAAAATGTATAGAAATTATAGAATGATATCAATTATTCTTAAGACAAAGAAATGAAGCCTATATATTTCTGGACTATATATTTTTTGCATTGTGACATTATTTTTATGAAGTCTATTGTAATGCAAGATGTTTTATTCTCATTACTGTAATGTGGTATGTTATTGAAGTTAATATCTGTAAAGTATTGTTGCTCAAGTAAGTAGTGTTTTAAGTCAATGTATGCTGACTTTAAACAGGATGATTTTTATTGATGAATTACATTAATGAGAATTTGGTGGCAAATGTGCTTCATCATTTTCATTATGAAAATATGATTGTTAAAAAATGGCTTTATTTACTTTTTTTAAATTAAATATATCTTGTGATTGTGGGGTGAAATATGCCTTGTACATTTCTTTGTGAGATTCACTCACATAGCAGCAACATTCCAGGATTTCTGATGCACCTGGAAAAAAAAGAAAGTTGATATGTAATCTGTCAATAACCAAGTTAATTAGCTATAATTAAATCTAGAAGGTAACAAGGACAAGTTGGAATATTGGGTCTGAGATCCACTCAAAAACAATGCCCACTCTTAATCCTCCAGGTTTGACATTTAGCACCTCCCTCCAGCTCATAGCACTGCAGGTGTCTGCCATTTAAGACAAAAGAGACACCGTCGATACTGTCACGGCTCAAATGGCTGCTGATGATAGACTGAGCCATTGATCAAGTGCACTGAATGTTTTTTTTTTTCCCACCACTTGCAATTTTGTTTGTCAGATGCTGTTGGAGGGCCGTCGTTTCCGCTGCGTCCCCTGCTGATAGCTCCCTGTCGTCATCGGCGTGGCCCCTTATCCCTTCTCATCTATTTACCTCACCACTCGCCGCATCTGCAACAAGATAATGACACACCAATTTCTTTCAGAGAGGCGTGCGCCTGTTCTCTTTCATTTTTGGCCCTCTTGCTTGCGCTTCAGCATCCACCGTCTCCATGATTGTCCACACAACACTGTTAGTGTCCATCACGAACACCGAGCCGAACAGGTGCGCTTTCTTTTACACTTGAAACATATCTACCATATAGTCGCCACATTTCTTGCCTGTTGGTCTAAAGTGGATTAAGTTGAAAAAAGCGCTTTGCTCATTTCCCAGGTGCTCTGTCGTTGTCGGTAAAGCTCGATTGATGGTTTTGAAGGATGTTGAGTGAAGTTTGGCGGCCCTGAAAGAAGGCCAAGAGGGTTTAGTGACGTGCAGGATTATCGCATCAGAACAGAGAGCAGAAGAGGAAAAAAAGAAAATCCTCGCATGTCTATTGATGCTGCCCTTTCTCTGGGCTGTTTCATCAAATTGTTGGTGACATTTGAGTTGGATGGTGGAGAGGAGGTTAGGTTGGGGGAGCTGTCAGATGTGCAGTCACTTCCGAGCATATGCACAGATACAGCTCTCTGCATCTTTAACTTCTCGTCTGCTGCTGTGCCATGTAGGGCTCCTCGATTATGGCAAAAATCATAATTTTTTTGGCTAATATTGAAATCATGGTTACTTACTGTAACACGATTAGGAGTGGGCGATATGACCAAAAACATTTATTTCACAACAGTGATATATATATGTATATATGTATGTGCGTGTACATATATATATATATATATATATATATATACATACACACACAATGCAATAGATATATATGTATATGGTATTTTGCTGGAAATAAGGTTGCTATGATATAAAAATTTTAGATACCAGTGAAACTTCACAATTCTTGATGCCAATTTCAGTACAACAGCAGAAACTTATACTAGGCTAATTTAAATGAACAAAATAAAAAAGTCCTCAATCAATTATTGAAGAAGAGTAAACAGTCAGTAATGAAATAAAACCGAAGAAGAAAATTGCAAACAATAATAAAAATACAAAAAAAAAAAAATAATAATAATAATGAAATAAAGAATGCAAGTCTTTTTAAAAACTGAAATTGAACAATCAAATGTAAAAATAAAACATAATCTTCACTATATGAATTAAATATACAGTACATTGATCCTTATTAAAGCTACTATAGCTATTCAGTCAAGAGCAGTGAGTGATTTTTTTCTTGTTCTTTTTTTCCCCCGTACTTGTTCACTTGTTCTCCTCAGACAGCAGCAAGAATAAATTGGGCTGCTGTCACTTTGAGACATAATGCTAAAATATTACATATAGGATCAAATATACTGACACGCATCTGATTTGCTCCCAACTGTTTACACAACTGACTGTATTTTTATGAGGACTCACCAATATGTGCATTTTGCCATATTTTTGTGTGTATTTGAACATTTAGTCACGCACCCGAAGCCCAAGTGTAATTCGCTTGACCTTGTTTTTGCTCGATCTAGGAGAGTGCACACAGAAAGCCCCTCTTTCGCAGTTTTGCAGCTCTTTTTAATATCAAGCATGTCATGCAGTAGACCGCATATTATGACAGTCACGTTACATAATTGGACATTACGTTTGGGCTTTTAATGAGGCGTGAAAGTGCACCGCTTTCCATTCCAAGGAATGGAATATGACCCAATAATCATTTTATTTCAACTATCGTGCTTTCATAATCATTGGAAGCCAAAATCGAAATCAAAACTAAAATCTGCACAGCCCTCGTGCCATGTAGCTTGCTAGTGCCGGTGTCCAGTTTTGCACAGGGCAGGCAAAGGCTTACATTTTGTTGTGGAAGTATTGTGTATATAAGTCCCATGTTTTGCAGTTCTGTCTTTCGGTTGTCAGTTAATGTGTTGTGTTTTGCACAGGTGCACATAGGTTACCTTCCAAACAAGAGGGTTCTTGGTCTGAGTAAATTAGCAAGGTAGGCAAAATGCATCCAGGTTTCTCATACACATATGAAAGTCCAATCTATTTCAGTGATTTTTATTTTTATTGTGAGTTCGTTTACATCTTTTGTGTTTTCACAAACAGTGGCCCCAAAAAGTATTTGGGCACTTAAATCACTTCCATCTTTCCAAGTCTATCTAACTGTCATTACATTAGATAACAAAATACAGTCCTACGTCACACTATTGACGTGTTCTACTCATGTTTGACCACCAGAAAGTGTCCAAATAATTTTTGGCTTTATTTGTTGAACAATACATTTGATAAAATTTTTGAAATAATTTTTTCATTTTTTTTTTTTCATTTAAAATGGGGTATATGGGATCAGTATGCTTTTCTTGAAAGAAAGAAATTAATAGTTTGTTTTAATTAAAATACAAAGCAGTTATTTTAAATTCTAATAATATTTGACAAAAGTTTCACTGTATTTTTGATCAAATAAATGCATTTTTTGTGGAGTGTTTTTGCTTGAATGGTTCTTGTGGTATCCTTTAAAATAAATTTTAGATTTTGTTATATAATGAGGTGATTTTATGTTTTTATGATGCAGACAATATTGAATCTTAATGGATTCCTTCACGAGTGTACAAATTTATCCTGCCACAAAGCAGCTTTTCTTTTTTTTTCAGTAAATTCAGCAGCATTTGCTTGAGTAAAGTGGATTAATGGCTCTCTTTCCCTCAGGGGTGTTTGTCTGTGAAATCAAGATGCACACGCCTGTGTGTGTGTGTTTGAAACCGTGAAAGTGTAAGTGTCTGTAAGAGGATTAGACACAATGTGTGAGTGACAAAGAGAAGCTTGATCCAATCTGACCCCAATACCTGTGGCTTAGCCATTCACTATGTACCAACCGTAATACTGCACTCCACTAATGAAGACATGACAACAGCAGTCACGAATTGTAGCTCTCAGCAGTGCCACACACTTAATCACACACACGCACGCACACACGCACACACACACACACACACACAGGTGCATTTCTTATTTCTACAATTTGTTATTGTTCCTTTTTTTTAATAGCTGTAGTCATGACAAGGTCCGAGTGGCACAGAGACTGACTTTTCTAGTCATCATTATCTGTGAAAAGGATTTGTGTGTGTTTGTTCTATTCTTATTAATATGAAATAGTTATCAATGTTGAAAACAGTTGTACTGCCTATTATTTTTGTGGAAACTGATAATTTTTTTTTTTTTTTTCAGATTAGAAAGTTCAAAACAATTAGGATTTTTAAAATAAAAATCTAAAAAGTTCTGATCGATTTAACACATCCTTGCTGAATAAAAAGTCATTTCTTTAAAAAAATGTACTGACCCCAAACTTCAGAATGGTAGTAAATTCCAATTATTATGTTCCAATCATTATATTACAGATATTTATATATTTTTATATAAATACACATATTTTTAATTAAGAACTTTGATCGATTGCCAAGTGTCTTAATTGAAGGTGTGCACATTGTTAGTTTACAGTTTACATTTAGTGATTTAAAATGAAATTTAATAAAATATAGATTTTGACCAAATAGACGCCTGGCCTAGGTTTTATCATTACCACAATGATTAAAATCCCTGAGCAATGAAGTTTTATCAAAGCACCATCACATATGGAGGTATTATATCACATATAATTATTAACCATGCTTTTGTTTTGCACCAGGATCGTTGAGATATATAGCAGGAGATTGCAAGGTAATGGTCTTTTTTTTTTTTTTTTTTTCCTCAAACAGTTCTAGCATGTAACAATATTTATATTCCTTCAAAATCCTTGTTTGTTTCACTAATAACTTGAAAACTTAATGTTGAAATGTTCTCAGTAGTTCTGGTCTGTCTGCTTGTCTTACTTCAGTTCAGGAGCGTCTAACCAAACAGATTGCAGTCGCTATCACTGAAGCGTTACAGCCCGCTGGTGTCGGGGTGGTCATTGAAGCAACGTATGTCAAATTCAAGTTAAACTTTTTAATTACAATATAATGCTAAGAATGACCAAATACGAAGTTTTATTTCTTCTATTAACAGTTCTCTGCTTACAAGTTAAAATTAATTTATTTTTATTATTTTGTTTTATTTTATTTACAATGTAATGCTAAGAAAGACCAAATATCAAGATTTATTTCTTTTCTTTATTGTTCTCCAGTCACAAGTTAGATTTTATTATTTTATTTAATTTAATTTAATTTTACAATATAATAAGCATGAACAATACTCAAGATTTATTGTATTTAATTTTTTTTACAATGCAATAAGTATGGACAATCCGCAAAATGTTATTTATTTATTTATTGATTTATTTAATGTAATTAGTATGAGCAATCCTCAAGATGTATTTCTTCTCTTTGGTCTTTTTCAGTCACATGTGTATGGTTATGCGAGGTGTCCAGAAGATGAACAGCAAGACTGTGACCAGCACCATGCTAGGCGTTTTCCGCGAGGACCCCAAGACACGAGACGAGTTCCTGACCCTGATCCGGAGCTGAGAGTGTCCGTGTTCGCTCTCCACTGCCAAAACACTCTGACCAGCCCTCTTCTCAAACGCCTCCCTGGATCGAAGGAGTCATCTCTGGTTCTGCCTCCAGACGAGGCACTGCTGCTGTGTAACATAGTGTCCCACCTGCCTCTGGCATGGTCACATCGGTAACACCTTCTCTTCTGTATCACGTGTGCGTGTGTGTGTGTGTTGTGCACGTTTAGTCAGTAGAGCTGTAGGAGCCTCTATTGACAGGACTGTGGCTATTACTGTTATATGGAAGCATTGTGTTTTGAAGGACGTCCTAGATTAGCACAATTTGACCTCTCTAAACTGACAAAATTTGTTTATATCTCTTTCCGGTTGTGTCACATTTGCGCTCTATTAAACGCAATTGAGTTGCTTGAAATACGCAACAAAGTGGTTTTATTTTCACGCTTCTGAACAGGAGGTGCATGTCATTCTGAATATTCCAATATTTTACTGTTTGAACTACATAAAAGTACTGTCGAGGAACAATGGTACAGTAATGGTAATGAATATAACCACTAAATGATTACCAATATTATTCATACACCTTGATATTTACAAGGTACTTCAAAGATTATTATGATATTATAATTGTACATGTCCCCAAAAAAACTAGTATTATAAAGCACCACTTTTTATAAGTGAATTAATCCAGACTGGTTTTATTGTTGTTTTACTATGTGCTGAAAATGTATTATGGCTATGCTGTCTTATAATGTAATATTTAATATAATGTATGTGTCCTGTGCATCAGTCAGTAATTGTGCCCAGACCCAAAGTATCATCTGCTCTTGAAAGGATAGTTCATCCAAAAATGAAACGTGTCCATATTTACTCACCCTCATGTTATCCAAACATGTTTGTGCCTTAACCCTGACATATTACATATTACATACAAGTTACATATTCGTGTTTTTTGTTGAGTATTATATTTGATACATCCGGCTTTTATGGCTCATATGTGACCCTGGACCACAAAACCAGTCATAATTGTCCATTTTTTCGAAATTGAGATTTATACATCATCTGAAATCTGAATAAATAAGCTTTCAATTGATGTATGGTTTGTTAGGATAGGACAATATTTGGTCGAGATACAACTATTTGAAAATCTGGAATCTGAGGGTGCATAAAAAAATCTAAATATTGAGAAAATCGCCTTTAAAGTTTTCGAAATGAAGCTCTTAGCAATGCATATTACTAATTAAAAATAAGTTTTAATATATTTACATTAGGAAATTTACAAAATATCTTCATGGAACATGATCTTTACTTAATATCCTAATGATTTTTGGCATAAAAGAAAGATCTATAATTTTGACCCATACAATGTATTTTTGGCTATTGCTACAAATATACTCCAGCGACTTAAGACTGGTTTTGTGGTCCAGGGTCACATATAGTATAATATAGGAAAATATGTAATAAATAAATAAATAAAAACCCTCAATTTTATTCCGAGGCCCAAATTGAGTGAAAATATTAAGACTGTTTTTGCATTATTACATGACTTTTAAGACAGTTTAAGCAAATTACCCTCACAGATTCACCTTATTGTAATGTTACAAATAAATGTTTTACATTTTAAATGTACAATTTTTATCGTGTTACCCAGTAAGCTGATAGAGGGTGATTTTATGGAGTTTATATTCAAGGAGGAAAAAACATCAGAAGTCCAGACTGAGTGAAAATATGCAGTTTGGTGCAGTTTCAGATAATTATATGGCCAAAAAGTAAGCTGAAATTCTGATGATTTGTAGTGTAAATTAATGAGATCTTATAGTAGATGGCTTGCATACCTTGCATGCATATAAATATCTGTTGTCACTTTGTATAGTATTTCCCAAAAATGTCTTTGTAAAATGATATTTAAATGATTATTTTATTATCAAAGCTCTGTAGTTTTAAAACATATAATGCAATGCAATCCAGTGATGATAAAGAGACATATAAATAGATGTTGCTCAAAAGCCTGATGTATCATAATTAATAATCAAATTTTAATATGATTTTTCATATTATATTATTGCATGGATAAGCAATTAAACTTAAGTTGCTTCAGTCCAGTATGTGATTATCTTGAAAAATTACTAGCAATTTAAAATGTATTCTTACATTTACTTGATAAAAATGAGTAAATATTTCACAGCAAAAAGACACGATGTATCACAACCTGAAGGGGGACAGTGTTACAATTATCAGACAATTCATTGTAAGGACAAAAATGGCCATTCTTCAGTTATCTTCTTTTGTGTTAAGCAGAAGAAAGACAGTCATACAGGTTTAAAACAACACTAGGGTGAGTATATGATAACAGATTTAGCATTTTTAGGTGAACTGTCTGTTTAAGTGTTTATTTGGGCTCATCGTTGATGGTATTTACACGTTTTGTGCAACACTATTATTCTATCTTTAAAATCAGCTGTTGAGTCTGATGTGTTGGATGTTCTGTGTTGAAGTGATAACCAGCTCCAGCCTTCTGAATGTCCTGTCTGTGTGGCCGTAGATGTTGTTTACTCTCTGAAGGTCGTCTTTTGTTTGTTAGAAAAAAAGACCAAAGGTGAAAGGTGCAGTCGAGGTCAACTTAGTATCTGATTTTGCACATTGTGGGATTCACTTACAGTATGAAGAATACAGAACATAGCTGTACTGATTAATGTGATCTTTGTAATAAAAAAAGATGGAAACCAACTAAAAGATATTTTAAGATTCTACATTTGTAGAACATATTTTATATGTTTACTTAGATGCATGTTTACCTGTCCTTGGGTATGTATAATGTGTTTTTGAGTTAGAATTTAAACTATGTACTTATGTATCATTGTAGAAAATTATATTAACCTCAAAAACAATGGATACTGTGGATTTACGGATACTGTTGTATTGCCTGTGTAGTGACTTTTTTTTTAAATTATGAAACATTGCTTGAGTGATGTTCTGCATCCATGAGTTCAGATGGAACTCTGAGCCAGATGGTTTCTGAGATGTTCAATGTCACAATCGCTTCATATCAGTGGATTCATTAAGAAAATGAGCACTTGATATTGAGAAGTCTCGTGTTATTCATGTGGCCTTCTTTAAACGAAAGACTCAAAGAGCCTTTCAGATACTTAATATTGATGTTCTTCAACATTTTCAGCTTAAAATAAAAAAAAAATCTTGTGTAAAATGTTAGAATGTTCTTGCCTTTTTTTTTGAAGGGGGATTGGTAGAAAGCAAAGGACGATAAACATTAAAGGGTGGATCTCACAAATGTCCTATTTCACCCCAAAATCAAAAGTAATTTCGCATTCTAACAGGAATTTCAAGACAGTTAAAGGACATTAGTCTCACAAATTCGCATTATTGTAATGTTAAAAAAATCTTTCTCATTATTGTAAGACACAAGTTAAAATAGTTAATGTTTTTTTTTAATGTTTTACCATTTAAATATACAATTTTTATCTTGTAACCTAAGGATGATTGAGGATGTTTTATTTGTTTTTGTATTATTATTTTAATTTGCTTTAATGAAAATTTGCAACCTGAGCAGGGGAAATATACTTATTGTGAAATTACTGCATATTAAATAAATGCTAATAAAAATAAATAAAGGGGTCCTATTATGCGCTTTTACAAAGTCTTGATTTTGTTTTGGGGGTGTACTAGAACATGCTTCATGTTGTACTTGTAAGAATTGTTCTAGACATGCCGAAAATTTGAAGCTACAGCACAGCAGCTCTTCTTCTTCGTTTTCTCTGATGCACTAACTCTGCAGCAGCACTTCTTCTTCATCGTCTCGTCTGATGCACTCTCTCAACCAAGCATTCTAACCACGAGCTCGCCCCTCCCCACCCCCCCAACCATTCGAATTTCTTTCTAACCACAACCTTGCCCCTCCCCACCCCCCAACCATTCGAATTTCTGTAGGCGGGAATTATTTTTAATGATATTCTAATGAGCCGCTTTGTGATATCACAGAGCCCGGAAACCAACGCTGTAGTCCAAACGAGCCATTCGTTGTAGTTCTTGAAAAGGGATTTTTTAAAAACAAAATATCTCCCTTTGGAGTGGACTTTGAGATTTGTAACTTTCTAGATCTTTTTTATGCCCAAACATACACACTACACACTGACTAAAATTAAAAAAAAGTGAAAAAGCATAATAGGACCCCTTTAAGTACAATATTACATATCTTTCTTTTAGGGTTAAAATGACGAGTTTCCTTCTACCCTAAAAGTGGTTTAGCCAGGTATCAGAAGCCCAGTTACAGAGTTTGTGTGTAAAAAAAAAAAAAAAAAAAAAAAAAAGATATTATTTTCATGGTGAACTTCTACCTTTTAATTATCTTTATATCATGTATGGATTAAAAAGCCAATTTCACTTCCTAATATTTTCCATGAATAACACTGCCCATCTGTGTGAAACTTTCATTGGCCCATCATAAATGAGTTCATAAAACAGTGAGTTGAGAGTGACTCAGCTTTTTTTTCACAGAAAGCCCCGCCTCTTGGCAATAAAAACCTGCCTCGAGCTCTCCGATTGGTTGAGATCGAGAGGAGGCAGTAAATTCCTCAGACTCGTGGTTGTTAGTTACCCTTAATATATGAGCAGAGCTTCCTCCTCCATACCATTCAACAGCTGCTTTGAAATGAGAAAAAAACCTTTAGTCTTTTTCAAAAGTTACTCTTTAATACTTTTCGTCTGTGGTTATTACAAAAATGTCAAGCATTTAACACAGACCCAATGAAACAGACAAAAACACATTCAGTCGGCGGACAGAACATCAGACACACAAACAGTATAATCTCCCATTAACGCACAAAAACACTCACAAAGCCACGAACTAAAGAGGGAAAGAGTTTACAGAATCCGTCTCTTTATTGACTAAAGTCATGTTCATTTCAGTAAAGATTTTTAAAACCTGCGCTAAGATGAGCGGAGAGACGTAACACGAGCTGTGACGCCTCACAGGAAACAGGAAGCGGAAACAGCCTCCGCCGAAGCCATCCACGTTATGACGCAACTAAGAAGGTATATGTACAAAAATTACAAGACAATCCGGGTTCTCACCTGGATACACAGTGTCACACTCGCACACATACAAACAAAAATACATATACACATCTGTGTGTTGTACAGACAGATATAATCATAACTTCATAACAAGTACCTAAAGCATACAGATTCCCCTGAACTACCAGCACGCTCCTTCCGAGCAAACGCATCAGAATCGGCTCGTATGGACTTTGTATGATTTGAAGTTTTGACCATCTGCTTATCTCTATATTTTAGAGCCATAGAAAACATTTACATTTGGGGTAAAGGTCTGAATACAAAAAAAAAAAGGCACTGCCATTTGTTTTTCTAGATATGACTTCCCAGCCTCTTGCATGCATCTCTAAAATAGAAATTACCTTTTTTCCCGTTTTTTTTTTTTTTTTATAAATGTTTTGATTTATTTTTCTTGGTTTTTATTTGGTTTCATAAACATATGATTCTTTTAATATATATATATATATATATATTTTATATATGTACGTCAGCCTGCAGTCAATACAGGACATCGGCTCTTGAAAATAACACAAAAAAAAAACATCATAAACAATGGGGAAAAATTCAAAGAGCGTAGTAAAGCAAGACCCCTTTTTTTCAGAATAGGGGTGGGGGAATAAAATCGGTTTTATTTTCTGGAATAAAACCGATCAGCATCACATACGTTCCGATATGCTAACGCGCAAAACCTTTTACAAAATAATGTAACAAAAAATGCTTTGTCAATGCTAAAACGCTAGTTTCATTTTTTTTTCGGAATACCAAGGTAGCATGTAAATGTTAACACTGTAACAGCATCTGTAATTCTGCTGCATGTTGGCAGTAGAACGCATTTGGACTGAAGCGTCTTCGCACTGAGGATGGAAACGAATCTGCTTCGACTCGTGTGAAAAATATTTAAACAAACCAGAGCTGAATACGCATCATTCTTCGTTACCCAATCACGAGCGAGCAGCGCTCTTCCTAAAGAACAACGCTACGCAATGACGCTACGCCGTATATATTTGGCATTAAATACCGTAACAGCTGAGGTGGAAAAACAGCATCAGAATAACAACGAAATCTCCACCAAAACAAAACACTTGGCTCTTTGTTTACAACGTGTGACAATATAAAAACATTTTCCTTAAAATACACCATCCGGGGAGAGTTAGCAAAATATAAGCATTTATAGATACTCGCAAAACAGCAATATTAAAACAACATAACAAAAAATTGATGTCTTTTGACTATCAGGTAGGTTTTTTTTTTAGATAAAGAATGCAAATTGGGAAAACAAAACGTCAAAAAATAACTAGGTTGTTATTTGAGATGTACTTATGGTTACCCAGCCATAGCAAAAGTTAATACACAAGGTATCTTAAATAATACATCTAATGAATACAATAACCTCTGCATCAATAATAGAAAAGAATAAATAATCATTTGAATCTGCTAATTGTTTTCAAATGGCAGTGATGAGTGGCTTAATACACACAAATAAATGCACCTCTAGAAACAAGATGCACAAGATGCCACATGATGGTTTGCTAACATGCTTGTAAAACACCGGCTACCATTCCGTTTAAGGCATTTCATGCACATTAAAAGCACTAGTTTGGAGGCACCAAGTCGCTTATGAAGTCGACACACTGCATAGTCAATATTCTTTCTTTTAGGCAGCTTGAACTGCGTCGGTCGCCACTCAACGGATGTGAAAGTGCCTCTTTACCGTCTGTTTAATCATGACTGGTTTCTTTGGATGAGCCAAAAAGCATAAAACACTTGAGGTGTGGGAAGGTGCATCAAGTTGCAGGCCTGCGAATCCCTTCACACGAGGATGTACAGGATACTATAGTCCTGCGGTTCGGGAATTGTGGGAGATTTGGAGGAGAGGGCGGAGTTTGTTAGTCCAGTTCCTCTTTCCGGGACCCCCAGTTCCCCCTCAGCCTTTTGATTCAGACCATGCTGCTGATGAAGAGTCTATTGCACGTTATTGCAAATTCACTTTTGATGGTTTCAGCAAGGATTCACAGCACCAAGGGCAGGAAAAGCAAAGTTATATAGGAAAAACTCTAAATAAGATACATTAACAATCACTGAACACCCTCATAAAGGGACTTTAATGTCCCGGATTAAAACAATTAAAGCAAAAAAACTCTTTCAGACCCTTCCCATGCAGAAAATCAGATCTTCACTTGTAAGAGTCTAAAACTAAAAGCTCATTTCTTATTGTAAACGTTCTATTTATTTTTATTTTTTATACCTGGCATGATTAACTAATGGCTGATATTAAGACAATACTGTAAGAAACACTCTAGCCTCATTTAATGGTAACTACTGCACAGTTTCACCACCAGATGGCGCTCTGTACTAGTAACTGGTGCATTAGTGTTTTTTCCTCATATATACTGTATATTTCTCCCTGTTGCTCCAACAGTTTACTGACACAGTGTACCATGCATGTGATATCCCAAATACGCAGAAACCAGCTGAAAACCTCCATATGACACCTGTAATCTACCCAAAATCACTAAATCAATCTACAGCTGTGCATTTACAGATAAAAAAAAAAAAAGCAATGCAATGCATAAAAAAAACAAACATTTGTAAAACATTTTCCTCTCCAGGCCCACACGGAATCCGTAAAAATCTCCACAGATTCCCACAGTATCTGAACGAACATCATTCATGAAGCTGTACACTTCTCCCAAGCATGTTTATGCTTTCAGACACACATTTTACCACAAATTTTCTGCCAAAAATATAGTTAATATATACATATAATTTGTATTTCAATGTATTTTATTTAACTTTAATTGTCATTTATATATAAAATGTTATTTAAATAAATATATTTAAAATATTTTATTTATATTTCAATTTAAATATATTAAAATAGAAATAAAATATAATAAAATATATTTAAATAACAACGTATATACATTTGAATAAAAATGATTTCTATTATTTTATATATTTCTGCATATTCTGTCTGGACTTGCGCACCTCTGACCTCTATGTTCACCTGCTCCTCTTCAACCTTTCCATCTACTTGCATTTGCTGGCATTTCTCCTATATTCCTCTGACCTCCTGATCTCCCTCTACTATTCCTTACATCAGAATCCATGTACGACATTCCTCGCTCCCTCTACAGACCCTTCTGCTGACATCACTTCCTGTTTCCTTTCCCATCTCTGCTCTCATGTTCCCTCTCTTTCTTCTGAGTACCATCCGTAGCTCTTACTGTCTTTGTAGTGTTGTAAATCAGCTTTCCTGCTGGCTCAAAAGAAAACTACAACAACAAAACAATAAATACAAACACAATTGTAAACTAGTATGAAGCCATTTGGGAACCTAAAGCTGTACACCGTTCTCGGATTTTGACAACGCTCGCACCTGAAAAAAATGACTTCTGATTTTCTTGACAGTATTACGTGTAAACATACTATAATGTAATATTTTTCACATCTGCACAGAGGCACAGAAATCGAATCTGTAACTCGAATCTTGATCTGGTTTTTTCTACTGGTTGGTTTGGAATTTGTGACGTCCCAGACCGCCACCTGAACGCTTTGAGTTGTCTCCGTTGCGTTACGGACCCCCTCTAATGGCCTGTCGACACGTAGACCCTTTGCGGCGTTCTAAGGAAGTGCTGAAGATGTGATTTTCTCCCAAACTCGAATGTAAACACGCTGAAGTAGTCATAGTGACAGAACTTGCTTGTGGTAATCCTTTCAGAAAATGGTGAATGGCACTGTGTAGACCACGCCCCACCTCTCTTATTGGCTATTTGTCATTGGTAGGTGAGCAGGTGGAGGGGGGGAGTTTATAGGCAGAGAGGCTTGTGACCTCGTGATGACCTTTCCCCCTGCTGCCAGGCATGCCTTCTCCCTGTGTGCCCCCTTTTCTTCTCTCAGATGGTTGAAGTTCGATCAACGCCATCTATGGAAACAAGTGACATCGTGACATCGACACAATCAAGTGAAACTCTGAAACACTTCGGGAACCTTTCACCCAAAAATGAACATTTTGTCATTTTTATTCACTCACATATACACCACTGTCAAAAGTTTTTTTTTTCAGTAAGATTTTTTATGTTTTTTAAAGTCTCTTATGCTGACCAAGGCTGGATTTATTTGATCAAAAATAGTCAAAACAGTAATATTGTGAAATATTATTACTATTTATTCTATTTGAATATTTTTTAAATATAAATAAATAGGCTAAAAGCTGAATTTTCAGCATCATTACTCCAATCTTCAGTGTCACATGATCCTTCAGAAAGCATTCTAATATTCTGATTTGTTGCTTAAGCGTTTATTATTATTATCAGTGTTGAAACAGTTATATCACTTTGATCAATTGCACCCTTGCTGAACAAAAAGTATTAATTTCTTAAAAAAACACATACTGAGCCGAAACCTTTGAACGGTTTTGTAACTTTACAATATTTAAAATATTAACATTTCCTTACCCTAATCTTTTTAACAGTAATGTAACATATAACTTACTAGAAAAATTTTTGCACTTAATGTGTCCTTGAATAAAAGTATTAATTGAATAAAAGTATTAATTTCTTTCAAAACAAAACAAACCAAAATTTTCTGACCCTAAACTTTTGAATGGTAGTGTAACTTATATAGCTTCCTAGAAAATATTGCACAGGACTTCTGGGAAGCCTTTGAGTGACTGAAACAACCCAGTGAATCAGTTTTTTTTTTGCTTCTGGTTTATTTAAAATGAGTTGGACTTCCCAACCGTACAGTTTCAAAGAGGAAGCAGTCTCATTCTGCGTAATGAGGGCACACAAAACTCCCAGGCAGGCTGCTGACCAGAGGAGGTGGAGGTCCTGAGGGGGGAAAGTCTAGGGGTACGTTGCCACAAGAACACTACGGGCTCTGTTGGCAGCTGTGGAGCGAGCAGGGCATTCCTGAGCTCACCGCAGAGCTGCCCACTGCTTCTGCCCGTCTCCCTGATTCAACCTGTCTGCCTGCCTCTCTCCTGTCTGTCTCCCTGCACTCCCCCAACACAAAGCTGTGCTTGTCCAGCGCCGAGCCCACTACACTGAAAGCCTCTGTGTGTCAGCCCTGAGAGAAAAAACACTCTTTATGCAAAGAAAACCTCCACTTCACATGGGAATGCTCACTGTATTGATCCCGTGGCGTGTGGATACAAAGTAATGCTCCTTCCTGTCTGAAACTGATAGTCACAATATTTTCTCTTTTGAAGATTGTTGTGTCTGATGCGTTGTGTAAAGCTCCCACCAAAGAAGCACCTCAAAAAGTTCCACCAAAATGTTGTGGAACCCTTGAACATTTTCAAAGGAAAACAAAGGACTTCAAAAGGCTTTTTGACCTTTTGAATGAGTGTCAGACGGGATGCTCCAAACAGAAACTGTCCCGTGGGGTTTCATGATCCTGCCATAGTCAGCATAGATCCAAACCATTTCCTCAAATTCCGTTCTCATGGATTGGGGATAAAATCAGAAGATTTTCTCGCACAGATTGTTAAACAAACATGATGCAATACTAGAAACATCCTCATTCATTAGCTCATACCAAAAGATGAGTTTTGAGTATTATTCATACACCAAAACGTGTAAATATCTTTAGATAACATAGTAACATACTACTAGTAGACAAGTAGTTTCTGTTCTCAAAGATCGACGTTAATATCGTCGCATAACATAGTGAAAAAAGGTTTTTAAGATTTTTTGAAAGAAGTTTCTTTGTAATATTACAGTTTAAAACAACTGTTGTTATTGTAATAAATATTAAAATGCGCTTTATTCCTGTGAAGGCAAAGCTGAATTTTCAGTCTCATTACTCCAGTCTTCAGTGTCACATGATCCTCAGAAATCATTCTAATATGTTGATTTGCTGCTCTAGAAACATTTTTTTTATTATTATCAATGTTTAGAACAGTTGTGCTGCTTAATATTTTTGTGGAAAATGTGATGATACATTATTTCCAGGATTCTTTGATGAATAGAAAATTCAAAACACTTAAAATAGAAATTGACAAATATCTTTACTGTCACTTTTGATCAATTTAATGCATCCTTTCTGAATAAAAGTATTAATTTCCTTCCCAAAAAAAAAAAAAAACCTTAAATTGGTGTCATTTTCATTTTGGGGTGAGCTATTCCTTGAAGTGCAGTATTTATAAACTGAGCAAGAAGTGGACATGTACCTCCCAGAGCGTGTTCAGTCATGCTGCGACACAGAGACTCCAAACGGTTATTGATGTCAGGCTCAGTCACAGGCACCTGTAAATCTGCAAAATGACAAACAAACTGAGTCAGCTTTAACAAGTTATGACAATACACAACACATGACAATTCAAATGAGGGCTGCAAACAAAGATGCATTTCAAACCTCTCAGAGTGTCTCATTCACATCCTTGTCATCATACTGCAATTGATCAATAGTTCCAAATTGCGACCTCAATTTTCAAACTGCCATTATGCCTGCAAATTGCACTGAACTGATTGTGAACTGATTGTGCTCATAGTTCCCTCAGTAGTACACTGGCCTACAGTGTGAGCTCTGTTCTAAAGAGTAGCTTCAGTCTCGGTGGGCCAGGCTCTGACTGCTCAGGGCTCCAGCAGCTCTGCTCGGGCTGGGCTGGCCCTTACTTTAGCTGAGTCAACAGCAAACGGGCCTTTGAAAATCCCTTGTGGGAAGGAAGAGCTGAGTTAAGCAACCACTGGCTGGATGGAACAGACGACCTGCTATTTTTAAGCAGCAAATCCTGTAAGTCCCATCAAGTCTCTCTCACAGTGTTCCCTCTTTGATGCCTTTGAATTAATCAAGGCGTTAATGTGAACACATTTGGATGGGTGGCAATGAGAAAACGAGGGGGAATGAGTCTGACAGAAAAAGTGGCAGGCATGCTGCACAAAGACAGTCATTGTAACATGCAACCTATTACACAAAAACACAGTACAGAGTCTCGTGCACAGCCCCTCTTTCTTCTCCGAAAGGGTACAAATATTTCTGTAAATCCATGAGAACGGTGCAAACTGAAGGAAGTGAGTTTCCGCTGCAGTCAGAGTGGAGCCACAGACTGAGAGGAACATCTGTCTGCTCTGAATGTGTGTCAGTGGAGCACACAGCACAAAGAAGCCGGAAAACTTTAAATGTGTGACATGGTTTCAGTCAGAAAAAAGAAAACTGTCTGACCACTAACAAATATTTGATGATGTTTTTTTAACTTGACGTAAGCCATTCTATGCTTCTGTAGTGTTTTATTTTACCACAGAAATATATTTATGATCGGGGTATCAGCATGTTGAATGCAATTTTAAATCTAAATCTATAATGCACAAAATTCAGGAAGTGCTGTCCACACACTTAAAAGATACACAGACCAAAAAGGTCTATCAAAAAATATATTTTATTGCTTTTCTAAGGATTTTTTTTCATCTATCCAGGGCTTTTGGGGGTCTTGACATGCTCAAAAACTCTTGAAAATTGGCACACATGTTGGCATCTGCAATCATTAGGATGCCATAGAGCTTGGGACCCGGGCGTGGCACAGGGGCTCTACGGCGTCCTCTGGAACACAGTCCGAAAACTTGCAGCATATCTCGTGCATATTTACACGTATACATATGAAACTCAGTACACATATAGATCTCACTGAGCCGGACAACTTTCGCACTGCATGTCATTGGCTCCGCCCAACAGGAAGTCAGCTATTTTGGATTGTTTAAAAAGCGCATATGAATACTCTTCCTAGGTTTTTCGTCCAATCACCACCAATCTCGGACAACATGATCTCAAGACATTAAGGTTGCTAAATTGCGAAGGGATTTTTGATATCTCAAACGTTTTGGCCATGGTGAGGCGATGAATTTATGGTGAAAAAACAGAAACAGGAAGTGTGTTATAACTTGCACATACATTGTCTGATTATTTTTAATGCAGCACAATGTACTGCACCACAAGTTGATTACTGATTTTCATTCACCGCAAAAAACAAAAAAACACACACACACAAAAGAGACAAAGTTTATCAAGATCAGATGGCATTTCGTTTACATGCATTTTTACCTCTGAGCTCCTTAACTGGAGGGCAACTTTTTTCAAACAGTTTCCTTTTTTAAGTAATCTGGGGGTTTTTGTGTCAGAAATGATGGTAATTTAACTTTGCCTGACCAGACTGTAAGCTACAGTGTGTTCAAGTTATTGTCTCTTACCTGTTTGCTGGAACATGGCCATAGTGTGTGGGTTGGTGTGGACGGGTAGCGATCGGGTCCTCTGAACTGAGCTGTGGGTGCGGCTGGGCATGCTGTTACTGCCCCCTGGATTGGCAAACCACAAACCCTACCACAAAAACACACATGCCAGCCAAATTACAATCACATCATACTATAAGCTGTGCTCATGTGAATACTAGAACTGACATAATAGACTTGGTAAATAAGTGAGTTCACTAAACTAATGGATAATACACGAAAAACAGTTTCACATAATTATGAAGCCTTTTATTGTTCTAAACATAAAATGACTATTTGACTACATATAATGAAAACATATCCTTTCTGACTCATTCAGTGTGAAACATGACTACTCTATAAAATTCTAGAAAAATCTTCTAGAAAATTCTTCTATATATAAATGAATCTAATGAAAACATGTCCATGTCACATTTCACCAGAATAAAATTATATATATATTTTTAAATTTTTTTATTTACAGTATATTTTATTTTAATATATTTTATTTTTATTTTATGGCATTGTGACATTATTTTTAGGACAGTTAAGCATATTTACCTGAAATTACTGCAATCCGTTTCAGTATTTTACATTACTTTGTTTTTTATCATTTCCATTATTCTCAATTATGATTCTCAATACTGCAATACAACAATTTGTAACTTTTAAAATGTACACACACACATATATATACGTTGTTTTTTGCATTATGGAAATGAGAAATTGGGGGCGGGGGGAATATTTTCCATTATTTATTTATTTTTTGGGGGTTTTAGGGACATGTAACTGATCATTTTGTAAGATTCATCCATTCATGTAGTGGTCTGATGTGAATAAGTTCTTCTAACCTGCGTATCTGACTTTCATTCACTCTCTCACTCCCTTCATTTGACTCCCTCTCCCCCTTTCCTGGCCCTCCTGTACAGAGGAGCAGGGAAAAACAGGAAATGCCTGTGCACTGTTCTCACTGCCTCTGACTAGCTCCCTCTCTCTCACTCTCTCTTTCTTTCTCTCCTCTCCTCTTCTTTTCTGCCCTCCCCTCTCTCTCTCCTCCCTCCAGGCACACTTCTCCCCACACATGACTCATCGGCTGTTTCGTGCACCTAAAATCCACCGTCCACAGACTCTGAACCAGAGAGGCAGTTGGAACTTCCTCCCACTGTAAGCGTGCCTAGAAAAATGTTTGAGCAGACATGCAAGAATGCCAGGTTATCACTACGCTTCCAAAACCCGATCCTCAGTTGTTCCATTTAACAGTGATGTAGGATTTCTGGAATGTTGTAAATTGCCTCCAGCTCCATCCACTTCAAAAACTAGAGCTCCCTTCACTTTGAAGTAGTAACAGAGTCATTTATGCTCGGGTTCGGTGTTGTTTGTGAAATGACAAACCTGTCTTCCCTGCTTCAGGCCGGCTGGAGTGCTGCTGCTGCTTCGGGGGGTTGGTCCGAACAGGCCGGTGGTACTCAAAAGGACGGGTCTAACACCAGGCAAACTCCGCATCTGATACTGCCGCAGGTTCCTCCGGGTGGGAACGCTGCTGCCTACGCAGCCCGTGGTTGGGAGGGAGTTGGACTGACCGTAACGACTGCTGAAATGAAACAGACAGTGTCCTAAAATACCACTCAGATAATATTATAGAAAGAGAAAGCAATTGCAAAAGTTTTAAAATTATTAAACAAATGTATTATTTATATATAATAAATAAATATTTATATATTGAAATATATAATACAGTATAATATATTTGCAGAATAATAATGCAGTAATACAATATATATATATATATATATATATATATATATGTATATACAGTGG